TTCGAATTTAGGGTTTAATAGAAGCTTGAACTATAAAATAATTTATGAAATGAGGAAAATAGATTTATCACTTCCAGCGTTGATGAAGGCTTCAAATCTCTACTCTCTCTCAATGAATGTGATAGAATCGCTTGGACAAGGGTATAGAGTTTATCTCTTACAGGATATGATATAAGAATGAAAGTTCAAAAAAAAAAAAAAATCTATCTCCCACTACTGATGATAATGTTGCTAACTAATGTTTAATTAGTTAGTAATTAATAATTTTATGTTTAATATTTTAAGTTAAAAATGAATATAACCTAATTTTTAAAATAATAAACTTAAAACTTAATTATTGAAATATAAAATTAAAAATCAAGGATATGTGTAATTTTCTCAATTAAAATATGATTTTTGACTTGTAAATTTAGAAGAATATTTATAATGGAAAAATTCGCATATGTTCTATCGTTAAAAAAGAATTCACAATTTGCTATATAATAAAAATATAACTGTAAGTACTAAATTATATGTAAATTATTTTAAAACATATTAATGATGGAGACACACCCGTCTATTCCAGAGAACATACTGAGCATCTTGATCCTCTGAATCTGTCTATCAATACACATCTTCTGGGACGATGGCCAATTGTGGTACGGATTTTATACAATGTAATTTGAATTTTTCCAAAGATTATATCTGTTATTTACTTCGTAATATTGCGAGAACTGATGTATAATATGCAATTAGACAACTTTGAATACAATGGTTATATTCACGCATAGAAATAGATCCTTTTTATCCATAAATAATATTATCATTTGTAACTTGAAATTTTAATTGATTACATGATTCTTTACTAAAAGTCATCGATATTGTTATTTGTATATTACCGTCTTTGAAATAAAATATGGTAACAAATAATCGACACCCATCTTTATTGATATGTATGATGTAACTCTATGTTTCAAATAATTTAATATTTTAAACAATTTTGGGGAAATTCATCTTGATATTTTGCATAATATCAAGAAATTGATTTTGCGAAAGTAATGCAAGGGATTACGGTGCTTGAAATTTGTATAATGTCAAATTCTAAGCTGATTTTTTGGATTTCTTAAGTTGAGATGATTTGGGAGGAATTGAGGAGCGGAGGAATGTGAATTACACCAATTTGGATATTAAAGACGTGACATTTTTTTGGCTTTAGCACAATACCCCCTATCTATTACCCCATTTACCGAAAACCCTCATACCTTTTTGAAATAGCTCAAAATTCTCTTGTTCGAAACTTTTTGTGCGTAATACCCCATTGCAGTCCATTTTCTCAATAAACAGTGTTAAGTGATGAAAAAGCCCTCCTATTTAAATAAAACAAAAAGAAATGAAGAAAATAATAAAGAATTAATTGCAACTATAATCCCAAATTTCTTAAAAAACTGCAAACGTGACTACAAATAAAAAAAGAACTTTTTCTCCCCCCACAATCGCTTTCAATTAATGGGTAGATTCAATGGGAAAGCCACCGGATCTACTAAAAAACCCACCCACTGCCGCCACTTTTGTCGTCAGCTATCAACCACCATGCCGTCGGTAACATCCCAACGACACTCCCCAATCAATTTCCAATCCAAACAACACATTTTGAAGGTGAAATCAATGAAAAAAGCAATTTGGCTATGCACAAGTTCTTCGGCTTAACATGCTCCCTCGATGACTTTCACGTTCGCAGCCTACCACCAATAGATTCCTCTGATCAAGATGACCTAAACCATGGTCAAACATCAACCAAAATAACCTCTAATCGATATGCTATTCCTTAGAATTTTTCTGCAATCATGCTGCGTGAAAAACAAGTTGTGCCATTTATCCCTCCAAGCGACTATGGGAATGAATCCAATTGTGCCATTTACCCCTCCAAGCGATCCAATTTTTGGATCAAAATCTGACTTCCACCATGCGCACAGTAAATAATATTTTCAAAAAATTGATGGGTCCCACGAGGCAAGACATCAATTGAGGTTCAAACATACATGGGTGAACCGTCAATTGGATCAATTAACTAAAGAATTACTCAATATCATCAAGGCCAAATTGTCGGACCAAGCACCAATTGAAACAAAAATTCAGGTAGTTTGGCTGTGACCCATTTTACGACACCACTTCCAATGAATATAGTAACGTTCCCTCAGGTTCGATCAATTTGACCGGCAATATTTTTTAGGAAAAATTGCAACAGAGGCCCCAAATCTTTGATTTGTTACAACCGTCACCCCTAATCTTTTCAAACATTGCAGGTGAAATCCCAATGGATGGATAACATCCAATTTGCCGTTAGTTGACCAAAAAATTTAGTTTGACCGCATTGTTAATATTTTTATGAAAGGTCAAAATAGTAACTTTCTATTTATCAAATTAAATAATTACATTAATTAAATTAAAAACCTCCCCAAAAAAGAAAAAACAAATTGTATCTTCTACTTCTTCCCCCCATCCCTTCCCCAACATACCTAACCCCACTCTGACCAAAATCGCCACCATTGCCGTTGTCACCACCATTGCCGTTATCACCACCACCTCACCCTTCATCCTCCGGTCACCTAACACCATAAATCATTTTCGATCGGACTGATTTTGGGGCCTCAAACATTTCATTACCTAATGGAAAGTGCGAGAACGACCCAAACGACACCGCTTTGCAAAATGATTGCACCCCTCATTCTGTCGAATACGATGTAGCTTTAAACTTAATCCACTCTTTGATGGTGCTCACCGACATCTGGTGCTCCTATGTTGTTGTCATGCAAGACGAAGTTTTGATACAAACCGATGACTTCAACGAAGACGACCATGTCGTTAGAAATAAGAGGAACCCTGTAATGATGGTTCTTGTTAGGGTTGTAAGCAAAAATCGCAAAATCAAAAAATCGAACCGAAATCACATTTTAAAAATCGTCAGTTTGTGCCATGTGGTTCTGGTCAACGAAATGGTTGTAAACCAAACTAAACCGGTCAAAATGGTTTGGTTTAGTTTAGATTTGAGAATTTTAATTGTGGTTTAAAACCAAACCGGACTGGCAAAAAATATATAAAAATAAAAAAAATGAAAAATGAATTTTTTTGAAAATTCATCCAAATATGTAAAATTCAATAGTTTTGTCATTGTGGGTATTTCTGTCAATTTCTAATTTTTTAATACATATATATTATTATTACCTAATAATCCTAATTTATATCTAATAATCTCAAAAATAACATGATTTATCAAAAGTCATTTTCCTCTTCAGAATTCAGATAAACTCCAGTCGACACCCAACACAGTCTTGAGCCACCGGCACCATATACACTTCTTCTTCAGATTTTTTACGCGTCTTCAAAGTTGAATTATAATCCACTATACCAAATCGAAGACAAAAGAGATCCTAACCTTTCGGTGATAATATTTGCTACAAATAAAGTTTCAAATCAATAATTTCTTTTGAGCAAATTGTGGTAAGAATTTGAAATTAAATTCGTTTCTAACAACATACAAATGTTAGATTGTGTAATTGTTATGTTTATATATTATAAATAATTGCTTTATTATTGCGGTGGTTATTCTCTTTGTTTAATTAGTAATATTTTTTCAGATATGATGTTCACGAGGTCTTGTTGGATTGATGTTTTTGAGCCTTATATCTCGTTTACTGGACTTGTATTTTAACGTTATCATAACGTCGTTAGCTTAAAAAAGGTGAAAAAAAGAAAAAAAAAATTATGTTTTAGTTTATTGTGATTCATTTTGATTTAGTAGATATTTAAAGTTATAGAAGATATATTTAACCCCTGTTCGAGCCATATTTTCCATGTTATTATAATGAGAAAATTGACCATTGACGAGGAGGCTAGGTTCTGCGCATGAAATAACAGGTCAACAAATGCAATTGGACTTGTGTGATAATGATCCAAATTTTCATTTTTTTGTCCCAAAAATTTGGTTGAAACAATGGCTTAGAATGTTTTAGATTTATTGCTAATAAGATATAAATATGTATTGAATTCAATGAATTAATGTCATAAAAGTATATATACAAAAAAAATACGATGAAATCGATGATTTTAAACCGGACCAAACCGTTAGGTTTAAATTTGAATTTTTTTCAAACCGATTTTGTTTGAAAATTTGTCAAACCCAGTAAAACTGGACCGTTTACATCCCTAGTTCTTGTGATTGGTAGGAAATAAAAAATCTAATGGCGTAGAGAAAATGATACGTAACCAAATAGTATTTTGCTGGACGGCCGACAAATTAGAATCGACGGCCAACGATAGTTCACTTATGAATTTTACCCTAAAAATCGCCGACGAAGAAAGCATATTATTTTTCCCTTTTTTTAAATTTTTTGGGAGTTTTTTAATTTAATTAATGTAATTATTTAATTTGGTAAATAGAAAGTTACTATTTTGCCCCTCATAAAAATATTAACAATGTGGTCAAACTAATTTTTTTGGTTAACTAACAGCAAATTGGATGTTTTCCATCCATTGTGATCTCACATGCAACGTTTGAGAATGTTAGGGGTGAGTTTGCAACAAATCAAATGTTTGGAAAAAATCTGCTAGTGTTTGAAAGGTTTGGGGTTTCTTCTACAATTTTTCCTATTTTTTATATTTATTTACGACTCCTTTGCAACTTTTTAAAAATTTTGGAATTATAGTTGCAATTAATTCTTTATTCTTTTTTTTCTTTTTTTTTTGTTTCATTTAAATAGGAGGTTTTTTCATCATTTAACAATTTTTTATTGAGAAAATGGACCGCAATGGGATATTACGCACAAAACATTTTAAATAGGGGGTTTTGAGCTATTTTCAAAAGGTGAGCAATTTTCGACAAATGAGTAATAGATAGGGGTATTGTGCTATTAAGCCACCGTTTTCCATTCTACTGTAGTAATCTAGTATTTATGGGAAAAAATAAGATGAAATATAATATTTAAATATTAATTAAATAATAGGTACTTGGTGTAATTTCCTCCATTTGTAAGCCCAATTTCCTATCAAATGATAGCCAAGTCTGTTTAGCAAGGGGAGTAGCCTAGGTTTTCTTTCTCAGTGATTTCTTCTATTCTTCATCATCAAACTTGGAAGGTAGCATCGGATTGTGTTAGTGTTAGAACGGGCTTTATATGTTGGGATCGACTCGATTTGTTTGATGTGAATGATTTAATTTGAACTAACTCCTTATAATTTATTTTATTTTTCCAGAATTGTTGTTTCTTGATGGTAATCTTTCTCTAGCAAGAGTGATTTTTCAACAATATTTCTCCTGAATTTTTGATGTGGTTGTTTATAGTTTTCCATTGGCGAAATAACCATGATCAAAATCCAGTGGGGGCAGTTGCCCCCCAGACCCCAGGTGGATCCGCCCCTAATCTGGGTGCATTACACTTTGTCCAATTAGTAGTGTTTTAATATTGGGATCCGCTGTGCTTGGTGAAAGTACAGATCAACCAAGATTTGATTAGGTGTACGACGCATACCCTTCCACGAAACCGTGGTTCAAGATGCTGGTACATTTGTTCTAAGTGCCCATTACTGGCATAGTAAAAGCAGGCATGGGCAGAAATTTTCCGCTAGCCATTTCTGCCATTTTAGCTGTCTTTGAATGGAAGCGATTGATTTTTGCTTATGATGTGCCAAATTTAAGAACTAACCGTTAATCATGTAATAGTTCTTGCTGCATGATGCTTCCTGTCTGTTGTGATATGAATCTTTAGACTTGAAGTACTCTTTCTGGAATTTTTCAATTGAATTTATATTAGAGTTATTTTTTCCTATTAAAATCAGGCTGCCTTTAGTTTCCAACTTTAATTTTGATAAACTGAAAGTCATTATATATATGTTTACGAAACTTTTATATGGACTCATACTACTTGTGAGATATATGAACAAGACACAACCTCCATATTAAATCGTCCTTTCAGGCCTCATATTTGCTCGTAACATGTAATATTACATTGGAATTCTGAAGAAAGTCTCTGTGTATCAATTTGATGATCTCTTTCTCAATATATACATCGAAATCTGTACATAGAGTATCATGGTTTTGAAGGATTTTGTTGTAGTAACGATTGATTGAACGGAGCATCAAAAAAGTATTTATGTAGTTGTTTCAAAATTATTGTGAATAAGGCTGAATTTTGTTCTTATTGACTTGTTGCTCTCCCTCCTCTTTCTGGACTGTGCACCTACGTGTGCATGCACAGTTTAATCTTTTCTAGATCTGGCTAATGTATATTAATATATTTTTTGCAGCTTTTAGCTTGTGAAGTAAAGATGGTGAAACTGACTATGATCGCTCGTGTCATTGATGGGCTTCCACTGGTAGAAGGACTGGACGATAGTCGTGATGTGCCAGATGCTGACTTCTACAAACAGCAAGTCAAGGCTTTGTTCAAAAACCTCTCAAGGGGTCAGAACGAGCCTTCAAGAATGTCGATTGAAACAGGCCCATATATCTTCCAGTATCCTGTCTTTCATGTTAGTAAAGATTTTTTTGTTTATGTTAATGGAGTTGACTAACTAGACAGGTTCAACATAATGACTTGAGAAAGTTTTGCTGCTGAAATGAATCTAGATATTTGTTTTATTATAATCTTTATTTGCCCAGTGGTCGTTTCCAGTTTGCTTTTTTATCTGTCTATGTTGAGCCTTGACTGTGCTCTATGATTCTCTACATTAATGCACATCCCTCATTGCTGTATTTTGCCCATCAATTGTACATCGTCTGATAAGAAAGTATTACAGAGAGGTGTGCATTTGATGATTTTACATTTCCATTTTTACCCTGTATCTTAGACCCCTGCACGTAAAAACTAATTTTTAACTTGTCATTATTTTCTTTTACCTAGTATGGAATACAATTTTGTTTTAGATTGATAACATGCCTTTTGAGAACCTTGGGACGATTTTTAATTAATTATCAGAGAAATTATTAAAATTTTTATACTCAGAACTATAACTACTGCTAATAATGTTTTCTCTTTTCCCTTTATTGAGTTTTTTTTTTTCCTGAACTTGGATACCTAGTCATATTATTGAAGGGCGTGTTTGTTATTTGACAATGTGTGATCGTGCTTATCCCAAGAAACTTGCGTTTCAATATCTGGAAGACCTTAAGAATGAATTTGAGCGTGTCTATGGAAATCAGATTGAAACGGCTGCAAGACCTTATGCTTTTATTAAATTTGGTAAGATATATCTTCAATTTTTTTCTGTTATCAACCTTGAGAAGTATTTTTCAATCTTAGTTTGAGAAGTATTTTTCTATCTTAGCTTTCGGTTATTTGTCAATGTAGGTACTCTTTTTTTTTTTATTTTTTTTTTTTTTTTTTTTTTTTTTTTTTCATTTCAATTTTTTTGTTTTTGTTTTTGTTGAGAAGCATTTGTAAGCTGTAGTTACCACTTTGTTAGTAATAAAATTTCTTTCTGATTATGTTTGATGTATTTTTCCTCTTTTCACTTGATTTTGGTAGATACATTCATACAGAAAACAAAGAAATTGTACCAGGATACAAGAACCCAGCGGAATATTGCAAAGTTGAATGATGAACTTTATGAAGTCCACCAGATAATGACTCGCAATGTACAGGAAGTTCTTGGTGTTGGTGAAAAGTTGGACCGTAAGAGATTCCATCTTTAATATTTTTAATTCTTAAAATCTATGATACATTTTTCTTTTGTTATTTCATGGCATAAAGTGTTTTTGCAATTTTTCGCATTTGATGCTTAACATCATGGGTTATGATAGGCATGCATGTTCCTGAGGGTTTTCTATTCTTCTGTTTTCAATTGCTTATTGTTTCTTTATCTTGCCTCAACTTTATAAAATTTCATCTTCGTGCTTTTTTTCTTTGGGGGAATGAACTTTTTGTAAATCATGTTTATTTTATTCCCTTATTTCCCTGCACGTTTGATGTTTATATTCTTTAATTGTGAATTTCTGCAGAGGTCAGTCAGATGTCAAGTCGCTTGACATCTGAATCCCGCATATATGCTGAAAAGGCAAAAGATTTGAACCGCCAGGTTAGTTATATTAGATTGACTCCAGGACTTATTTATTTATTTTTTATGTTCTTTATCAACTATTTCAATCCTTGAGTTTTCTCGTAATTATGGACAGGCTTACAATCAGCTCTGGCACTTAGTTCTGGCACTTTTATATAACAGCAAATTCCGAGTTCCATGATTATAATTGTCTGCATCCATAAGCATTGTTTGGGAAAACTATATTTATTTTTTATGTTCTTTGTCAACTATTTCAATCCTTGAGTTTTCTCGTAATTATGGACAGGCTTACAATCAGCTCTGGCACTTAGTTCTGGCACTTTTATATAACAGCAAATTCCGAGTTCCATGATTATAATTGTCTGCATCCATAAGCATTGTTTGGGAAAACTAACATTTTTTTTTTCTCTCAAGGTGAAACATGTAATAGCAACTATTACGTTTTTGTCAGACTTGAATTCAGGACTTTTAGTCTTCAGTCCTGCTACTTGAATTAGATCTTATCAGCTGAAAATAAACATTAAACACTAAGGGGCCGTTCTCTTTGTGTTTTAGTTTTATAGTTTTGAGTTTTGAATTCATTTTGAATTTTGTGTTTTGAGTGCCTGTTTTGAAATTGATGAAATTGCGTTCTTTTTTCCATTTTGGAACCATTTCCCGTATTTTCAATTTTTTCCAATTTTGTACTGAAAACGCCCAAAACGACAAAAATGTCATTTTGTGTTTTCTTCACAAATATTTTTTCGTTTTCGAAAATAGGAAAGAAAACGCGTTTTCACCGTTTTGAAAAATCGAAAACAGAAAACGGCCCGAAAATGGCAAAGAGAACACACCCTAAGTTGTTAAATTTTGGTTTGTCAACTTCTACATTTTTCTTTGTTTCGTTTTGTTATTACCTTTTGAAAATAGCACGAGTTCAGTTACCTACACACTACATGTACCCCTACTTTACTATTCATTCTTTTGATCATTGGCTGCAGGCTCTGATTAAGAAATGGGCCCCTGTTGCTGTTGTTCTAGGAGTTGTTTTCCTCCTCTTTTGGGTCAGAAACAAGTTCTGGTAAATACTGCCATTGATCTGCAGTTGATAGTCACTGTTTCGGTATCTTAAATATGCATTTCATCTTGAGGTGACTAGCAATTTTTTGTTACAAAACTACCTTCCTAAGGCTGTGAGACATCGATTCATGACGAGAAAAGAAATATATATTATTTAGAGATAAATAGATAGAACTTCTGTTGTGGGCTGAAACAGATTCAGTAACGCATACAAATGTTATTATTCTGTATCCTTATTTTCAGATGTTGCGTTTTAGACTGCACTAAGACAGGACAAGGTTAATGATACTAAAAATCAGTTCAGAAATCTTTTTTAATGGAAAGGATGTGAAAATTTTGGACATTTGTGTTTGAGTTCATAAGCAAGTCATCATTTTGAGGTTGTCTAATTGTAATTCTCTTCTCATTGTAGGCCAAGATATTAATGTTGAGATTTTGAGGTAGCACAATTTTAGATTAATCCATTTCCTTGATTTGCTTTATTTTTATATCTGGTGTAGCATGCTATCTCCCAGTCCCCTGTTACATTTTGCACCACCTCCCCCACTCTGATCTAGATCATCCCTACTGTGGGATGATCCTTACATTTTGCACCACGTCCCCACTCTGATTTTGATCAAGTTGGAGCTTATATAGACCTAGTTGGAATCGATTTTGTGTACGATAAGAATATTTTACACACTTTACATTACTTAGGCACAAATTTGTGTGAGATTTAAATTTTCTTTTATCTGAAATTCTGAATTGAAAGTTTACAAGAGCAATCTTTACAGTTTAACATTTACATATCCCATTGATGGAAGCAATGAATAAACCTTGAGGGATCATCCTGTGCTTCCCCATAGCACATATCAATTACCATGTTTGTAGGGTGCCAATATAATTAGATTAGTTGTGTCCCCAAAACCAAATGAATTATAGTGCAACCTTTATGTGACCTAGAAGTATATTGTATCATGCATAGCAGCCGGGATATTAAAAAAATTTGGAAAAGAAGAGGTTTTTTTTTATAATAAGTTTATAAAGATCAAACTAATTAAAAAAGAAAAATAAAAAATGACAGAGATAGCGTAACCAGATTGAAGTGACTCGGAACAAGCTCATTTTTATTTAGTGAGAATAGAAATTTCAAACCTATGACGGGGAAAGAAATTGACAATGGATGCTTTCAAATCTATAGCCATACAAGTGATGTTTGTGCATTATGGGCATGTTTGGTATATCAATATTGGGATAGTGCCAAAAACGAAACAAGATTTGATGTTGTCTAGTCTAACGTACCAATTACTCCCTATGTTGGTTGTTTTGCTATGAGCAAATTTTCCAAAAATAGGAGAGTAAGGAAATTTCTCCGATGGTAAATTACTTAATAGTCGTTACAGCTTCGACAGCACCAGCAACCACGAGTTGGTGACCAATCATAGATATTGTTGAGTTCATTCCCAGTTGAAACAAACATGACTATCTCTAGGAATGGCAAGGGTTTATTTATTTATTTGATGAAGAAATTTTGATCCAGTAATATTTCACCACACCATTTATATCTAAAATCATTATGTAAGTCATTATATACATGTAATACAATTATTGCGTGTCAGCATAATTTCGGACTTGATTAGAATTTGAGAAGTTCATGAGTGAATGCATGGATGGATAAACGGGGTGCTCGTATGCTCGCGAACGATGACCATCACGTTCGAGTTAATCAACCCAATTCTCGTTATCCTGATCGATCTCACCTTTATAAGGGAAAGGCTTGTAGTAAAATTGCTGTGCTTGCCTCGTCAACAATGTCTGCATTAACATCTATAAATATGAGCCATTTCCTCTATGGGAGGAGGATGAGGACGACATCGCCCAAATTTGAAAGATTTGTATATTGAACGATTAGATATTTGTATATTTGTATAAATATGAGCCATTTCTTCTCGATTTACTTCACTCTCAATAATTTTTCCTCTTATCCTCTCATAAAAGTATGATATACCTTCTCCTTTTATTATAAGTTTCCATATCAATTATGAAAAATACTTATTAAAAATAAAAGAAGTGTCGCTCATTTAATAAAAATAATGTCGATCCCGGTCTTTTGGAAAAGCAAAATCTAATTATGTAATTTATGAAAAATTGATAAGAAAGCTAGCAATAATTCCATCTTGAATCAAATTTGATGGCATTAAAAAAAATAATAATAATAGAAAAACGGAAATTAATATGTTTGCCTATAAATCTTAAATTCAATATTTTTATTTTCAGTCATGTGTTAGATATTTTACTATTTTCTTATATGAAAAATTACTTTCAGTGTAAGACAACAACTATCAAAATAAGAAGATTATTACTATATATTAAAATAAATAACTTATTAAGTAAGCAGAATACTAATACAATAATTTTCAAAAATACTTAAAAATTATTAGCACACATATCTTAACCTTATTAAGGAAAATACTAATAAATTATAAGAAAAAAATTGTAGAGTACAATAAAGATATTACAATTTTAGAGTGAATTTAATTGCCAATATAAAAGTCATTTTTTTACCCAAATTCATATTTTTGTGCTATTTGATTGATCTTTTTCCATAAAAAATATCTTTTTACAATTGGTTATGTGACCATATTTTCTTTGAAAATAAGAAAAATATTTTTTTAGGAGGGGTAGATTTTTATATTTCACGTAAGTCACTCTCTCATCTACTCCCTCTCTATCGTCTATCTACCAATAAAAATGAACAATTATAATATTTTCTATGTTGAAAATAAAATCAATCAAACACATTTAATTGATTATTTTCATGCAAATAATTTCTAGGCAATTCAATTAACTAAAATTTATTTTTTCATATAAATTGCATACATACAATCAAATAGACCCTTAAATTCAAAATTTAGTTTCAGTTTTGTACTAATTAAAATAGGAAATTTATGATAAGAGGAAATGTTTTCATATTTAAAAAAAAATAAAAAATAAGAGTGGTGATGTCTACTTAGTTTATGCTAAGCACCGAGTGACGTGACGCATTACAATAGATAAGGAAATATAATGATTAGTTTTAAGACTAATTACACCACATATTGTAGCGTGCCACTTAAATATAGTGTTTAGTTTATACGAAGCACCGGTGCTCAGGATATATATACACACACACACGCACACGCACACGCACACATGTAGACTATTTGGTAAATCATTCCTGTTTGACCCCATTAAATTTTAATTCATTTTTATTTCTCTCTTTGTCAACATCACATTCTACATTAAAATAATATTATACGTAAATTCATAAAAAAATTCTTATTTTTTATTTATACATTCTTTAAAAAATTACTATTCCTCTTGTTATAGCGTGAAATAATGGGAACAAACATGGAGTTGATAAAACCAAGAAAAAAAAAAGGGAAATAAGTTGGAATGGCCACTTGAAATCATATTTGTTCAAAAGGCCTTTGACTGAAAATAACAAAATAAAAGAAATCTTAAATATTTAAAACTATCAAAAGACCCTTTTACCCTATCTTCTAAAATGAAAATGAAGGAAGAAAGAAGGGGATTTCATTTAAAAAGCCTAGTCAAACAAAACATTAATTTAAAAAGTCCACAAACTAAGTTCTTTGGGTAAAAGGCCTAAAGATATGGAAAATGAAAAATATAATTTGTAAATTACTAAAATGACCTTACAAACAAAAAAGACATTGCTGCCCTAATTCCCATTTCAATTTCCATTTAACCCTAATTAAATTCTACCTTTCTTCCATTTGCTCTTCAAAATCGGTTGTAGAGGTATGTAATTTGTTTCTTTGTCATCATCATTTTTCTCTACTTAATGAAACCTTAAACTCTACATTCCATTTTCCTTGAACACTCATTTAGTTGAAATAAGTAATAAAATCTTGCAATATCATTGTTGGGCATTTGGAGAAGAAGGGGGTGTTGTAATTTTCAATTTTTTGGTTAGTTTCTTTGTCCATTTTTTGAATAATTTCTTCATGTTGTTGTATATATATTTATGATTTTTATTTGAGAACAATGATTTTGAATTAATTTTATCATTAGATTAGAGTTTTGATATGGGTTGCTCTCAAACCCTTTTTCTCATTTCTCATCATCTGTATCAGTTAGAGTAAAATGTAAGTTTGCAAAGGCATGTTTGACTATTCTTTTTATTAACTTACATTTAATTTTCGTCTGTACATAACGACTTACATGTCTTTTTCTGCAATCCATAACGACTTACATATCATTATCAGTAATGTACACTGTTTGAAATGTGATGAAATTTTTATATTGAATTATAGTTATGGACACCATGAATATGGTATGGATATCAGTTTGTTTTCCAGTTGAATATGAGTAGTCGATTGAATGTGTTTTAAAATGAAAATATACAGGGAATGACAAATAAAAACAACTCCTATTCTTGTTGCGAAAATTATTTCTTATATGGAATTATATGATAAAGTCAAAGAGGTGTTGAACATCAATTCACAACTTTTTCGAAATTTAATTGGAAAAATCGAATGATTAAATAATCTATTCACAACTTCAAATGGTTACGAGTACAGTCATAAGATATCGGTGGATTATATGTTTTTATTCCCAAATAAGATGGAATAAATCAATACCTTGAAATAGAAACCAATACCTTGGCTTTGTTGGAGCATACTTTTTTATTATTTCATTTATATTTATAATGGATAATTGATTTGGAATTATTTCCTGCAAATTACATAATCATCGTGTGTGTTATCTTGCTCATTTACTTGCTTTCAATATAAAGATTCAGAAACTTGGATGTTTACTTTGTGATTTCGTACTGCAGCTCTCTTGAGGGACATGCTTACTCAACTTTGCTCTAAGAGGAATTGAACATAGCAGGTCAAATATTATGTTAGCGTTTCCCATCCTCGACCCAAAGAAAAATGTAGAATGTCCTTTTTTTTCCTTTTTCTTTAGGTGCTACTGCTGGTGACTTTTTTTACATAGAAATAATTGGTCCAGCATTTTAAGCAATTTATTCCTTTAATTTCATCAAGATGTAGGTCGAAAGTGTGTGTGTAGGATAAAAACTATAATGTAATGGCTGGCTTATATGCCAGGTGAACTTCCTGGTTTATCATCATAATTCATAATCCAAGTTCATAAGTTTGTGACAGTGCTGAGATTATAAATTATCAAAATTATTCAATGGATCCATAAAGACTATATTAATCGACCGTTCATTTTTCTTTTTATAATTTTTTTCCAAAACATTCTTGCTTCTTGAAGTTCTCGAGTAATAATCGTCTGAGATTAAGGTTTTAATATTTTCCTGACTTGTAACTTTATAATTTTGTGCTTATTCGAAGCACAAGATGATTTATTAAATTTTGTAATCATTGTGCTATTGAAATGCTTTTGCACTATTGAAATGCAAACGACGTTCATATAGTTACAATTGATGTAAATGCAATCAATCTAATGACGATATATATTTTCTTCCTTCTGAAACAAAGTGTTTAAGATCGTTGTGGTACAAAAATGTACTAATTTTAATTATGAAATTGAAGTCGTTCTTGAAGCACAAAACGATATAGATGTCGTTCAAATAAAAAAAAAAGTAGAGTGAATAACATAACGATATTGAAACCGTTCCTGTAATAAAAAATGATTTCTATATCGTTTCAATATGAAATACACACTGCTTAACTTATTTTGGTAATGACATCAAAGTCGTTATGACTATACATAAACGATATATAAGTCGTTCTAGTACAAAAATGCATTCATTCTAAGAATGG